AGATTCTTTTTGCGAACTTCATTTTTCGTCAAAAAAACTCATCTGTGGCCCACCTCAGGTTCCTATGCAAAAAACATTTTTATTCCAGATTGTTTTAACAAATTAGTCTCGGCCGCTAATTTTTGTATATTTGAGATACCAACACTTGACTTCACAAACCCACATAGGTTTCGTTGAAATCCCAAAGAAACATCCAAGGACCTTCTCTCGTAAACAAAGAGTATTTCTGCTATCGAAATGTGGTTGGAGATGGTCAACAAGGAAATCTCACTGACGGCGAGAAAAAACTAAGAAAAAAATAATGCAAAAAATCTAGTCCTTAATAAAACATTGGAACGGCTACGAAGTAATTTTGAACAAGTTTGTTTATATGCAAGAATAAAAGTTAATGTCAAAAATAAGTGCTACAGCATTCAGTTCTAGACTAGATGACACTATATTCTTAACCATTTGACTTGATCGCTCATTATTCAGCATGACGGTGTAAGATCTTCATTGAGCGTTCTATTATATACTTGAATTGAATCAAACATTCGTGACTAGCCAAAATGGATGTGGCAACATTTGACAGATTGCCTAGCATAGTGCTGCTCGACTTATTCTCCCACTTCTCATATGTGAAAGTGTTGCAATCATTTTCGACACTCAATAATTCGTACCGATCAGATTCTCTCCGAAGAGAATGTCATTCGTTACGTCGATTGGTAGCAACTATCTGCTCACCATCGTCACACAATCAAGTATCACTTGGAATCAGTTGCCTCTATCACGACCGATTCATTGACATTCGCTAAACGATTCTTACAACATCGAGATCTTCATTGATTGTGTCTCGTTAATACTACATCACAGACTCTTATGAGGTTCGTCTGAATCGATTGGCATTTCACACTTGACGGCATGAAAGAAATACATTTTATTGTTACGAATAATTGTGAAACAACTTCGCAAATGATCGATGGATTGCTCGTTCTTGTTTTCTATCTAATTGGCTATGTACCCACTTTACATACACTACGTCTATCATCTGGCTACATAATAACTTCCTTCGTACTACAGTTATGTTACTAGTAATTGTTCAGAGGTCGGTTGATGAGTCATTCAGTTCAACACTTGCTTGAAAGCCTAAATTATGATATCCATCAGCAACTAATATTTTTCCAGTTGCTAATGTCATTGTTGTGTGTCTCTGTCGTGCATAGCTCATACTTCCAGTAGTTATCCAAAACCCTATCGATGAATCATGTAGGTCAGTTTTTCATGCTCTTTCTTATACGCTACTACAAGTTGAATATGAAAGCAAAATTTGCTTCATAATTATTAACTATTTATAATATACGTTTACTTAATATTTTAATAACTATAAAAACGAGTGATTTTTTAATAGCTTTTTTACCAAAATGTATCCTATGAAATTGTGCACCGAATAGTGTATAAGAAAGTCTTCAGCTACTTTTGACTAACGAAAAGTTGGGTTAAATATAAACAAATTTGTCAAGCTTTTTTCCCTCTGAAAACAAACTTTTTCTTATTGGGAAACTAAAAATCTGTGTTCAGAATCTGTTTGTATCTCTGTTTTATATACCTTTCCGAGAACTTTCGAAATTACTATTTGGATATCTTCAGTGAATTATTCTTGACATAGAATCTGAATAATGCAAAGTATGCGAAACCTTTTTTCTCTACTTCATATTGTATTGGTACATACAAAGACAGAGCCAAAAGGAAAATGCTAGGATGCCATCACACTCTGACATCTCTCTCTGACTGCGTCCATATATACACTACACCGGGTATAAACTAAAGAAGCTCGCGATGTTTATTGTGTTTTATATCAAATGGAAAAAAAATTGATTAAAACCTACAAAAAATAAGTAGTGACCTTAACCAATATCAAATGCGTGCACAGTTAAGAAAGCTTCATTAATTCTCATTAGAATACGTGTTGGTCATCAGTGCAATTAGCTAATAATCATCAGTATTTCGGCCAACTAGTTTCACTTTATTTTGGCAATAAGGCCAAATCATGCGTACTTCTGGACATTGTTTGCACAACGCCTTATAATCTTTCATATTCAAATAATTTCCGGGCATATGAACTCCAAGTGGTTTTGAATAATATTGTGTTTCAACTGAAAATGTCACAGCTATTTGTACAGGTGGTATGCTAGCATTAACTAAATAAAAATGTGAAGCAAACCATTCGTCTTCATTTTTAGAAAAATCATATGAATGTTTAGTTAAGAGCTCAATTGTTTTCGATCGTGTACGTAAACTAAAGCCGCTATTGCCGACCATACCATGTTCTGAAGTCATACGCCATGGCGCACCTAAACATCATGAAAAACATAAGAAAGAATCAATAAATTAGGATGACGTGGGATGTAGCGAACAAAATGAACACTCAAAAACAACGTAATTTACCCATGTAAGTTGAGTGCGTCGAAATAAACACGTTTTTCTGAACAAATTCTGGAACATGGTAACACATGTCTATACAAATAATCCATAAAAAGGATGCATGAGCGTGACTTCGAAAAAAAATCTCTCTTGCAGGCAATTAAACGTCTCCTATTGCATCATAATTCAATTTAAACATGATTGAACACGACCCGTGAGAACGCGCGCCACCATAGAATAATTATTGTCTCACTAAAGTGGCTCATTTCCTGAAGCGATTACACACAGGCTTACTTTCAACGATTTCAGACAAATCTATGACTTAGACCGTTCACATAGATAGTTTCAAAGCGCCACACTTGTCCAAAGAGATGCTAAAGAGCACATGCCAATCCTTAAGAATTTAGCCTGAAATCTACACGAAAATCAACTGGTTCTCGAAGACAAAAGATGCATTCGATTCTGTTAAAGCTTCGAATGCACAGCTTGTCTAACCTAAATTTTCCATAACTGCTGATGTGGGCTAGTAAAGATGATCAGACATTTCTGGCTTGTTCAGGAGAATCTTGGTTTTTGTCTTCTTTCACTGCTAGTTTCCTGATCTCAGGATTTTTGACTGGAATTTATCTTGTTTTTTCGTATTAAGAAAGGTACTAATAATTAGTAGCTCGAGGTTCTGATAGAACTTTTCATTCAAAAGCTTGCATTTACTTAATATGTGTCATTTTCTTCGATTGAAAAACACGACTCTATTTGGTAATGAAATATTTTTCAATTAAAGAAAGCGACTCTATTTATCAGTTAACGAGATACTAATTAAGAGATTTTTATTAGTAGAGAGCTAAGAGACAAGCTAGCTAAAAGTTGGAGCTCTGCATCTTCCATTTCAACTTTATGAGCAAACAATGTCGCCAACTAAGTTGTGGTGTGTGTAAAACTTTTAAGTCTTCCTTACCTATATAATCATATTGGAGATAATCTGTTAGTTTATGCGGTGAATTTGAACAAAATAGTGAATCTAGTTGAAAATTGAGAATTTTTTCACCTACAATTTGTTCATAAAATTTAACAGTTGTAAAAAGATTGTTCGGTGATGCAAATAAGTTTTCATTAAATAATTTTGTTAAAATAATTCGTCCATTTTCAATATATGGTTTCAAATCTTCACATTCAATTAAATATTTATAATTTGATGTGCCATAAATGATTTGTATAGGCCATGTACTTGGAATGTGTGTTAGAACGTTGAGTACACGTGATGGTATGCTTAAATCTGCACGATTATCAGCGATAATTGCAATACCAGGATAAAATAATGATTCATTAAAATTATTCCAGCTGTAATTGTTAGTATTGGAAGGTTGTTCACTAATGTTCTGATTGGATATTGATAAATTTACGCACCAGTATAAGAATCCATATATGATAATAATTGTTAAAATTGAATAAAATATTTTAAAAATTCTTCTCATTTCTTGGATTTTTTAGATCAACCGAAACCGCAGTATCGTATCCAAGAGGAAGCCAAATGAGTAATTGTTCCAAACTACAAAAATGTTTGCTAAAGCCTCAAAAGGTGCAATCTTTATGACGAATATTTTAGAAGCATAGATCCACAATATGAGACCAGAAACAACGAGCGAATGTATCAGATATAATTTCGCGAGTATGGCCGACTTCAACAGCACATGACTCGCATCAATCTTGTTGAAATCTTATCTAAATACTTTATACCTTTGCAGAAAACTGCAGTGTTAAGGAAATGAATGAAAAATGTGATAAATTATAAGAAGAAGTACAAGTAGTGTGTAAGTGCATACGGGCTTACGGGCTTACGGCTTTAAAGCATCATTTTTGGTAGTTTTCGGTTCTAAGGGCCTATAAAGGGTGTGGATGTAGATCATAGGGAACAACCAGGCGACAAAATTGATATTCAAGATTTCAGCCTATATTATAGCTAGCATTGAAGCTGTTATGATGCTGCATTCAAGTGCATCCTGGATGCTGCTTTATAGTAAATGTCTGTTAAGCAACAGATACCACAAAGTACGTTAAACAGGCGAATATCATTAACAGGATCATAGAGATAAGATGTATGTTTTAAATTAAGAATCTAGTTATATTTATTTGTTATTATATAGTTATAAATTGCTATGCACTTACTATATGTTATATGCCATTTGAACTTCTTGCAGTTTTTTAGGCAATAATAAGATTAAAAAAAAACTTACACTCAATTTAGTAAAAAAATGGTCACTGACCAATAATGCAGTCAATTTTGTGGATTTTTCCAGACCTTTAATTCATGTTCTAATCTGTAATTTGGTAGAGCATGTCATCATCTCTCTGCAGTAGATGCTCAAAGGTGTGCGTTTAACCCCTCGTTGGAATATAGTGTCTAAGATGTAAGCCCTATCAAAATTTGCTGGCAATTTTCATACAGTGATCACTCATGTTTCTAGTCCATCAATTTTCGAATAGATAAATAAACAGCAAACTTATAACAACTTCAAGTTTTATATGTACCATTTTATTTTAAGGTCGACTCTTTGAGTCGTCCTTAGGAATTAAATATACGAAAAAGTCGTGCGTAGGTTTCCTTTTAAGACAGACACCCGAAAAAAATCTTTCTGCTCTTTGTCCTTTTACGCTGTCAAATATGACATTAGATTTATTGTTGAGTAGAGTTATGACATGAGAGTTTTATTTCATTTTAGTCTATAGATCAAACTGTAATAAAACTTTCATGTCGTATCTTAGCTCAGTAATAAATTTAATGCAAAGGGTGATAGTATAAAAAAAGAGCGAAGAGAAAAAATACTGTTGCTCGACGATTTAAAATTATTTGCTTCATACTCTTATAACTTTTTCGTTCCTAAAAATACAAAGAATTGCACAATCCTTCTATATTTCGTCGAAGACAGAATATTTTAGTGTAAGTGAGAAATCTTGTTAGTAAGAGCTGATACAGGTTGTAACACATACTATGAATACTGAGAATTTAAGTTTTAAATGTAACTTCAAAAAGATGGTAGAACGACTGTTATTCATGAATCGAAAAAAAATGAAGCACAAAGAAAAGAAAATGAATCTTGACTAGGATTCGAACCCAGATAATATCCATAACTGGTAATTAGCCAGACGCTTTAGCGAAGATATTGAAACACAGTCTTAACTCAAATTCAAATTCAATGTGAACATTTATTTAATCTTTTTGAGTGATACTATGATTAGAGACTTCATTGTACGACGACTAACTCTAACAGACCTCGATCAATGATAGTTTGAAATATGCCTGTCTATTGCCGTTGCATTGAATCATATATAATTATATATAAATATATATGAGACGACTTTTTTATTGATTATTCGAATGAAAAATCGTAGAACGGCTGCTGTTGATCAATGGAAAAGACTAAAATAGAAGTTCCCATTGAATTTGAATTCGAGTTAAGACTCTTCCGATATCTTAGTTAAAGCGTCTGACTAGTTTCTAGTTGTGACTACTACCTCGGTTCGAATCTCAGTCAACATTAATTTTCTTTCCTTTGTGTTTCGTTCCTTTTCAATTGATGAATAACAGCCGTTTTACCATCGTTTATTCGAATAATGAATAAAAAAGTCCTTTCACATGCACATATATATATATAATTATATATGATTCAATGCAACGGCAATAGACAGGCATATTTCAAACGATCATTGATCGAGATCGATTAGAGTTAGTCGTCGTACAATAAAGTCTCTAATCATAGTATCACTCGAAAAGATTAAATAAATGTTCACATTGAATTTGAATTTGAGTTAAGACTGTGTTTCAATATCTTCGCTAAAGTGTCTGACTAGTTTTCAGTTATGGCTACTACCTCGGTTCGAATCTCAGCCAACATTAATTTTCTTTCCTTTGTATTTCGTTCTTTTCAATTGATGAATAACAGCCGTTCTACCATCGTTTGTTCGAATAATGAATAAAAAGGTCCTGTCATATACATTTATATAGCTTCAAAAAGTATTAAAACTTTGGAAGTCATTTTAACATGTTTCAGACCATGCTACAAACCGATTTCAAACTTTGTAAAACATTGATAAAAATTTTCGACATCATAGCAGACAAACATTGCTGAAACTTGCGAAATACTATAAACTGTCGAAAATTATTTCTGTTTTTTTCGTGACAAACTTCATTGCATCAGTAAGCTCATTTTCATTCCACAACTATAGTACATTTACTTTAATGTTTGTTGACTCGAGTTTGAACACTTTTTGACATCCTCATCTGCACATTTTCAAGATACTATCTGATGCATAAATAAAAAAGTTCAAAAAGAAAATGTATCTTCTATGTAAATATGCACTTGGCTAAGACTGTTAATTGATCTTGAGTGCTATTTGTGGCTAACGTCAGCGAATCAGATCATAAATGATCGATGTTATCAAAATCAAATACAACTGTGAAATCATCTTCATTAGAGATTAGATGGCTTTCTAAAAGTTTTAGATTATTAAGTATGCTTTAATGCGTCCCTCTTACGTGCAACACTGTAACTCTTCTGATCTGTACGCATCACCCGCTTACTAAGCCTCTTGTTATTTGCTATCAGGAAGGTTTTTCCAAGTAATAAACTACTAAAACAAATTTTTTTTCCTAAAGATATTTAACAACTACATATGTATGTGCTCCACCGTAATCAAATGGTAAAATTTTCGTTCACAGTCTTAGGATTTTACGTGTAGATAACTCGTACATTTAAATGAATATCGTATAGAAACTATAAAATGAGGTACTAAGTTGCACCATTATCATTTTTGTCTGCAAGGAATCAGAAGTTAAAAACAATATATTGATGACAACCAGTTCCAGATCCCTAAAGAGTAATTAGTATATCAGTGATTGAATACTGAGTGCAGGACTTGGTACGTTTTACTTAACAATTGTACTTTGTACTTGTACTTAAGTACATTGAGTTAAGTCCATTTGTACTTAGTACCAGTACTAAATACTAATATACTTAATAAGCTGTTCTCTTTTCTACCGGAATACTTTTGAATTTCTCATTTTTTGTGTTTTTTCTTCTTTACATGCGGTTCTAAGCGTCTCTCGTCTATTAGACATATTTAATAACTTCACACGGGATTTTAAGTCGTAAAAAATGAACGAAATGAAACTTTTCCAAATAGTCTTCAAAAATAACAACGAATATATAAGGTCTGAGTGTCAGTTAATACTATGAACATTAATCCCAACGGCTACACCCAGCACACTTCACTAATTCTGTCGTTGTCAATTAAAGAAAAATTGAAGTATTTTTTTCGAAGGTCACGAACCATTGGGTTTTGATGAAGATTCAGAAAAAAATGTATTCAAAATTAGTTGTCGGGTCACTAAAGATAAATATCTGTTATTGTAACTTAAGTAAAAACAATCAAAGTTCTCGTTGTTTATCACGCGCCAATTAACTTGTAATTTACATGATTTTCTGATTTCTATCTCAACCATTTACCATTATTTATGATAAGTTAAAAAACCGTAAATAGTATCGATTTTAATATCAACCCATATAAAAATATGGTAATAAGGATTCTACCAACTAAGACTTTTACTACTAGATATGCCATTAGATTACGGAAATGGTTGACGTTGATAAACTAATATTAATCCAAACAGAACATGGCATGATACTTAAGTATAAGTACAATTGTTAAATATAAAGTATTTGTACTTGTACTTGTACTTGTACTGGCCCAATCACTGCATTCCGTGGCAGATTTATATAATGCACAATTAATAACTGCATCAAGTATATGAAAGAAGATTGTTGTCTCATTTTGCTAAGAAATATTATAACTGAGCAACTACTTTTTATTATGCTAATTCACAGTTGTCGAAAACCGAAAACTTCATTTTCGAGGAATCTTTCTAATAAGGGAGGTTTGATAAGCGCAGGTAATCAGTATGAAGTGCCAGCAGTGTGTACACAAAATATTAAGTTAATAGTTGCAATAATTAAAATAATTGCTCCTGACTGCCATTTTCTGTCCACTGTGTGGGTGTAAATGTGAAGCATTGATGTTTTCTTCCATGACACTCGCACCCACACCCTAATGCGTGGCCTGATGCAATACAAAAAGTGGAAGAGTAGATTTTTATGTAAGATAGCCGGTAACCGAGCGTGTCGATTGGCGCCTTATTATCTCAACAGTTTTTGTTGCCTTCCTTATCTTGATATTGTTTGAATCCGTCAACCACCATTTTTCTCTAACATGTACTCACTCATCATCGTAGAATTAATAAAACGGAGTAGAACGATAGAAAGAATCATTCTATTCATCTAACTCATACATTACAAAAATGAAGATCGAGAAGATGGAAACGTTTCATGTCAAGCCAAGATGGCTCTTTCTCAAGGTAGCGTTATCTAATGTTCCTCTAGAATTGTATTCCTAAAAATAATTTTTAGATCACATGCGATGA